GCCATCCAACAACTTTCAGTAATTGCTTTTCTAACATTACAGAACACAAAAATGAAGTAAAAATCAAGCGAAATCCTACAACAAAAATTTTACTTGACCACCTTTTCAGGAGCGCATCTACATAAAACTTTGCACGAACCCTTCGTCATTCATTATACATCATGATTGCAATCTGGGTGAATACAATAAATTAGTATGATTACTTTGTTAATTAAGCATAGACTTTCCAAGGCTAAATCAGATGCAATAGATACTCTTGCATGGTTACCCAGCATCTCCAGGATCCAAAATAGCAGCCAGAAAAAGTCTTTAAGGAATTTCATTATTCTAAGGAAAATACCAAATGATTGCAAAATTAAGTCAAAATCATCATTCACGAAAATGAGCATAAGTTTCACTGAATTAAAGGAATAGTTGGGTGAAACTGTGATGGTTCTTTCTTGAGGGAATGACAAGAGATAATTGGTCAATATCTTAAGGTGAAGATTCATTGTTGTAAGGAAATGCCTAAGAGAAGTAATATGTAAGAGGAATATATCGAGAATATCATTAGGATGCACTATTAGCCCAAATCAATTTATAAAATCCTAAATTTAGAAATCCACTCCTCTCACCTAAACCACTGTAGAGTAGTTCTCAACCCAAGAGACACATTTGATGCTTGATCTTCATCTAGTCTTCTCTTGTACTACAAATAGGAAATAATAGACATCCTTTTATTGTTGGAGCAAGAGAGAGACCCTGTCAGAAAAGCAAAACCAAGTTTCCAAAGGGAAAAAAATTGTCTACACACACCCAACTGTTGCAATTTACTTAAGCAACTCACACAACCTCCCCTGCTCCATCCAAACGGAAATAGTTGTTTGGACAAATAGATATTGTTTCAGTGAAGTCCTCCCCTCTCCTCCTTATTATTACTCTTCTTATTAGTATCGAAAAAATTTCTTCATTTTATTATACCTTACAACAGCTTCATATGTTTGTTAGCAACAATTCAAAGAACAGAGAAGGAAAGCTGCCATGATACAAAGATAAGAAACGACTGGCTCAACGATTCAACAGATTTAAGAAAACTAAAGAGAGCAGATATTACATACTTGTACACTTCAAACATGAGATTTTACATGGCACCATTCAGCTTTGTTTGAAGCCTTGTGGACGTTCCACAAAGAAAAATAAAATAAGTTGCAGATGAGAAGCATGGGGCATAAATTTTGAAATTATTCTGAATGATCTAAGCACAAAAAAATTTAATTTGAGATCTTTACCTTTTTATTTTTCTGGCCACTACCAGTATTTTACTATACAGTTTAAATAGTTGATCTTTGAATCTTTCAGAATAATTTCAAAATTGAAGTTTTTTCTTTTTAAATACAAATTGTTCTCTCTTCCCCTCTTGGCCAAATTAAACCTATTCAACTTCAGTTTCTCCAGTGTAATTTCCCACATCATATAAATATCATGGTTTCATGGCAGACCCTAAAAGATGTTAAGCTCCCACTATATCATTCACAACTAAAGGTGTAACTAATATAATTTAGCCTGTCTAGGCTCAAAGAAAACAAGTCCTTCCCGTATTAGATTTCTCCAAGAATGCAAATGACAATAACAAGGACAAAACCCTTCCATTCAACCAGACAAAAAACCAAAATATCACGCATGATAATAAATAAAGAGAAAGAAGAAATACCTTCAGGGGTCCAACCGTAAGACCGGCGAGATACAGAGAGCATGGAAGTGAGCAATGCAGAAGCAGTGGCGGTGTGATACGGAAGCATCGATTCCACACAGCAGCTCAACTCCACAGGCGACCTTTCATGAGACAATGAACATATATCATTAATTCTTTCTCCAGAAGAGAAGTGGTTTCAGATTGACACACGATTACCTGAACATGCGATTCGATAGTGAGTTCCGCTTTGGGATCCGAAATGGCGAACCCGTCGGACTTGCTCTGACACCAGTAGCCAACTTCGCGTTCCGAAATGATCGGGAGGCAGAGGAGCGCATGAGAGACCTGGCGGCGGCGACGTACGGAGTGGACATCGTTATGGAGGATCGCTTATGAAGCAGCGGCAATGAGGTAGCCGCAGGGGCTTTGCAATTTTACGTTGGGGGTTTTACTTTTTTGTACTCTTTTTTTTTTCTCTGTTTTAGCCTTTGGGTATGTTTCGCTAATTAGCTTGAGGGGAGGGGGAGGGCTCAACAAGGATTAGAAAAATTACATATAAATCCTATATAAATAAATTAATTATCATAAAGTCGATTAATAATTAAAGTAAGACTGTTTAAAAATTTATAATACAATATATTAATGATGTTATTTTAATTATTAATAAATTTTATAGTAATTAATTTTTTGTGTGAAATTTTAATGTAATTCTCTCAAAATAAATTATGTGTAAACCTACATAACACGATTAATTACTTTTAAATGTATATTGTGACTTTTTTAAATTTAACTCTCAATAAATCTGAAAAGAATTAATTATATTAAATGTAAGTTTAAAGACTAAAAAAAATGATTCTTTTCTATACTTTGTTTTCCTTTTTCATGAAAATTCTTATATACTTTTGATTCTGACAAGGATTTTTTCTGTCATTAACTAAAAAGCATTTTTTTAAAATAAAAAAAAAGCACATCTTATTTTTTTGTTGGCAACATCTTATGTTTATAAAATACTGGTTATTTTCGTCTAGCTTTATTTTCCTTTTCAACATTGCAATATTTTTTTTTTATATTATGAGAGTAGTCCCTTCTTCTATATCAACTTTCATTTATTTAACTTTATATTATTTTTTATTCAAGTTGCTAAGTCATTTAAAAAGTTAAGCAATAAATAGAATGAAATGGGGAAAAAAAGAGAGAGAAAAAACTTGTGGTAGTTATATACTTGTACTTGTTTTTAATCAAATTAGGGCATGTATATTTTTTTAAAACATATAAGGTGTCCCCTAATTGACTTTTGTATATTAATACTTTTTCATACTTTTTTAACAAAAATTAAATTCACTTATATTAGTTTGATCGGTGACCAATATTTTAAATTTATAAGATTAAATATCTATTAGTTTGTCTGATTACTAGAAAAAATAAAAGAGAAAATTGGTGCAGTGGTTATAAAATATATAGGCCCCAAAAATTCTAGATAAAGTTTATAAAAATTTGAAACATGGTCCTTCACAAATTTAATTAGAATGTAATATTTCTTTTTTGCCCAACAAAAACTTCACTCAACAAATATAAATTTTTGATGCTATACATCCAAAATAGAGAAAAAATATCCCCATGACTAGTCCATGATTTAAAATTCTGTATTATATGCATCTAGAAATTTAAAATAAAATAAAATAAAATATTTTTTAAGACAACAAAAATGATTTGCAGAAAATTTTTAGAACTTCACATTGCTGAAAATCATTGTTTGTTATTTGGTTGAAATTGGCTTAGCTTTTCACTTCTAGAAGTAGAAGACTATATCGAGATCTATTATCTATTATTAGATTTTTACCATCTTCACATCTCTCAGTAATATTGAATTTTTTGCAAATTGTGTTTGATCCGTTTTGGACAAATGATTATGTATTTTTATGTTACTGATCTACGATATTATTGATAAGTTTTCACTGATAAAACTTATATATCAACGATATATAATAGCATGTCGTTGATATAATATTGCAGATCACCATAATCAGATAATTAACACAAAGCTTGTTTATCATTGATATACAACTGTATGTCAATAATGTAGTATTGTAGATCAGTAACACGAAAAATATATAATCTTTTGCCCAAAATGAATCAAACACAATTCACAAAATTTTTTTAACTCTAGCTTATCACAAAAAATCAAATACCTAAACTAATAAAATAAAAAAAATCATGAATTTGTAGCTCCATTTCCCTACCGGCATGCTCCATTTCATTGAGTACCGTCGATATCTCTCGCCATTATGAGTGTAACTCACATTTGTCTCTCTCTTGTTTGCTTGTTTCTTACGTTTTGAGTTTCTTCTGGTATTTGCAAAAATGGAGTGTTATAATTTTAAAAGTAATTGTGTAAATTAAATATTAACTAAATGTTAAAAAGATCATTTTTAAAATTTAAGAAATGATATATTATTTTTTTATTTGGTCTTATGATATAGGCTATGTATGCAAAAGTCCCAAAATAAAAATAAAATAAAACAAAATAAAAATAAACTAAATTATCCACCCTTTCATAATAAATTATACACCCTACACATATGCATTCCATAGTTACTGGGGTTTACCTTTACACAAATTAGGAGCTGAAGAATCAAGGAACAAAAAAATGTCAGAATTCGGAAGCCTGACGTTGCAGGTCCTGAAGGTGAAGGCTGAAGAGGAATACACCCTGTTGACAATTCAAAAGGTTTCATTGCACAGAATCCGTGTCATCTTCCTTTTTTACCTTTTCAGATAATTACCAAAGAAAATCTTCAAGTTCAACCAGTTTCTCCATTGTTCCACAGGTAACCTTATCAACATTCATTTCACTTGCTTCCATAATTAACGTCACCTTCTGTGGAAGAGGTCCTATTCAAACCAGACATGTTTGATTTCTATAAATGCATGGATGTATGTGTCTTCCTTTTCTATAAAAAAGGGTTAGGTTAGGGGTAATATTTTTAAAACATTCATTTCACTTGCTTTTACCACGGTCCGCCATCATCTTCAGGTTTCACAGATTGAATCAAAATGCAAGTTCAGTCTTAAGACTTTCTTCATTTTGAGACATTGTAGATCAACTACTTCATTTGTTTCTTGCTTTTGTTTATTTAACACTCGAGTTTGCACCGAATAACTTCATTCAACAAATTATCTAGTGAGATGAACTTAATGGTCAAAATTCAGGTTGTGGCAAAGAAAAATTTATTCAGTGTTGTGTTGAACTCAATTTTTTAGTCTTTATTCTTCTGAAGTGCTTGACATGATCATATATCTGAATTTACAAGAAAAAAGGTGGAGATGATTTCTGCAAGATTCAACACCTCCAGAACTCTAGAGGATTTCGCATCCTTTTATTATGTGCTCATAATATGAAACAGAACAAAGTTACAATAAGGATCCTGGCAAAAGTTAAAATGGTGAATTCAAGAAAAATTGACCGAAACCCATTTTTGAATTCTGACAGCAACAACAGAATTGAGAATCTGCACTGAAGTGACACGGTGTGTTACATGTTATTTTCCTCACCATCAATAATAACGCTTATTTCCTTGAACTCCTCTTAGCTCTGCTGGTCTTGAGCAGAAGTGCATCAAGTAGAATGGGTATACAAATATTGCCTCGAGACATATCCACTTGTTCATGTACTTTAGAGCCGTCTTTTGCCAGTGACTTATTATTCATCTCACCTTCTTCAAAATTTAAAGCGTTTGGGAAGTACAAATGCCCTCTTCTTTCACCAGCTCTAATGCCGATTAGCCTCCCCAGGGATACACTACTGTCTTGGAAGAAAGATGCAGATGACTGGTTGTAACAAGAACATAATTAAACTGTGAGAACAGGAGAAGATTACAAGCTCCTAACTTTTCTTGCTGGTTCAGGTAAGAGGAGTAATTATTTCACATGATCTTTGGTGGGATATGCAGATGCTTTTACTGTGTGAAATTCACTTTCCCAAAATTGGAAACCTGCGTTAACTCTATGCTATAAAGTTTAAAACCACTGTTATGGAAAACAATTCTGAGGACAAGTGGTCCTCTTCACAGGGAAGTAATTGTCAGCCACTTGAGCAAGGTGCATGATTCCCTTCCATAAATATCTAACATAACAGTACAGCCTATAAATTATGTAGTTAGATATAGACTTAAGTAGATGCAGTAAAGATATAATCATGTAGGGATGTGTAAAGTATGTTAAATGTAGATCCACTTTCTTTATTATCAGATTGATCTACCCAAGTGAAATCTATCTACAAATTTTGGTGGAGTTAATAGGTTCATCTGTGGGAAGTACAAACTTAATTACCTCTGTATCAAGGTTGGAGGATGAGAAAGAGGAGAAGCTGGAAGATGGTACGTGCAATGAGTATGACCCCACTGGAGCAACTGGTAGTGATTCTGCAACTCTAAGCCTCGTGTACAGAAAGCTGAGCCCAAGTGGCCATCCAAGAGGCATCTCATCATTCTGAGAAGAGACACACATCAAAATTGCTATGCACTATGATCAGAAAAAGTTTTGACCAATTCATACGCATCAATGTTTTGATTTATGTAAAATCATCAGCAGGCCAATCAGAAAATTTCCCAGGGAAACTGGTGAAGTTGGAATAGCAAACTGTTATCTCATCTCTTGTTAGCATTGCCAATGAAGACGAAATCAAACTTCAGCAACTATAAGAAGATAATTGTCTTTTTGTTCCTCATGTATAAGTAAGCAAGCAACATGAGCAGCTGAATCTTCTAGTTACCAGAGAAATTTGTGCGCCTAAGTTAATCTAGGCAGGCAAGTCTACCACAAAACTTCACTGAATTGGAGAATATGAACAGAAACGAGAACAACGAAAAAAAGGCAATGCAATAAGGTACCATTAGGTAGTGTGAATTTTTTGTATAATCGTCAATGAATCTTCTTGATGAACATATTATGAAAGGGAAATGGAACCGATCTTCAAAATGGCAGAAGGCTTTCTCAATGGTGAAGCAAATTTATCAGAAGATCCACCTATGGCAGCCCAGTTAGTCAGAAAGATTCAGCTGTTCAGAGCGGTTGTTCTTACTAACAGGGTTTCAAATTCCAGTTTCAATGCAGCAAAATTCTTTCACAAATGAGTCCAGGTTTAAATAAAACCTCCAAAACAATCCTATTATTATCAGTAACGCTTCGAAGAAACTTTCAAAAAAATCCAATAAATTACTTCTACTGTGCATCCTTCTTACTCTGATATGGTGAAAAGCATGTTCATGGAATAACTCAGTGAGAATGAACTGTCGGCAGAATTATCTTTTGATGAGTATTTAGAAGACGGTTCTTGAAATGAAAGTGAATGATTAGTGGTTAGTATGGGCTATTTCTCCAGATATTTTTCAGATCTGTTCCTCACCCATGTCGTACATCTTAAAACTCTTCTCTATTTTTGCTGCCTTTACCTTTGGCCCACATCATGTGCCACTGCTAGACTGCCATAACTAATACAGTTATCATATCAATTACAAAAATAATTGAGTGAAACTATACTCCTAAACCATCCAATTCGACATGTCATTCTGAGAATGAAAATAATTTATGTGATGCTCATCTAACTAAAACTATTAATTAGCAAGATTCTTATTCAGGACCCCATTCTAATTGATGTCATATTAACATAATTTGCAAAAATCTATCAGTTCAGGTACTGAGTTCTGACAAGAACCTTGGATGGGTTTTAATGAAATGTAAATTCAAAAGACTACTGATTTGCCAACCCTACTGTCATCATCTTCCTGGTTAGAAGCACCAATGAGTCCGTCCTCTATATCAGTCCACCAAGAAAAGTACAAATTTTACCTTCATTGATTGACATGGTCTCCTTTCACGTTCACCAGACCTCCAACTCAAATAATTAAGACATCCAGGTGCATAATATTCGCATGTTACTTTCAACAAACATTTGCCAAACTTCACAATTCCCAAAACAAAATGACTACCTCGAGCAAAGACTCATTTATATTCGGCTCAACATGACATGCAAGAATACCCATAAGCAAACAAGAAAAATCTCCCTGAACCTTTAAGAAGCTCAACAGTAAAGAACAAGACTCAGAAGTAATAACCGCGCACGCTGAGCTAAACCAGAGGAAGAAAGCTTCAGTTTCCATTTACTTGATATCTATGGATGAAGTGACATTAACAGTCCAGGAAAACTATGATCTTTCACTGAGACAAGAGTGACATATCAAAACCCAGAAGAGAGAATGCTGAATAGAAGAAGAAGAAGATAGAAAGAAAGAAGGCATACTGAGAAGTGAGAATATCCTCGTTCTTACTATTGTGCTGAATTTTAGCAGGAAAGCGAAGAATTATTACCTCTCTAACCATGGCTTCTCTCCCCTGCTCCGAGAAGTTGAGGTTAATGGTGATCACAGAGGACACAGGGAACGAAGAGAAATTTGTTTCGGAGAAACCAGCGGCCCGAGGATTTACGTGTCACCTGACTAGTATTCTTCCTTCCTTAAACACTAGACATTTAAGAGTTTGGGTCCCATCTGAATGTTCAGCCTTGAATATCAATCACCTAAGCGAACGCATTACTCCAAATCAATTTTTTTTTTTTTTGGGCAATAAATACAGGAATGGCTTTACCGTTAATTAAGCGCCATATTTTAAAATTATATTGGGGAGTGACACTTGAACAGCCATCTGTGAAAACTGAAAATGAAGCGTTTCCATGATCATCCTCATCCTTTAAGTGATCTCTTGGTTGTTTCTAGCTTTTTCAGCATGGGGTCGATGTATAAATCAAAACGGTTGAGATTGAAGAACATTAATGACCTGTTTGGTTGGTAGTAAAAGGAGTGATGAGACATTTACAGATTACAAGCAATTTTTGTCGCTGCTGATTGGTAAACAAGAGCTAACATCGCAAGTGATGTGTGATCAGTGTAGAGCACCTTGCTTTCATGGGTAACCTACTAATGCAATATATTTTCTTGAAGATTTACTTGGTGAACTACTAATGCAATTTGTATGATTAATTTATGTTGATTATTGCACTAAACTGAAACCAACTTACTACCTAAGTATTGTTTGGTGGGCGTTTTGGTCTTGTCATTCAATTTGATAATTGGAATTTTTTTTTTGGGGGGGGGGGTGAAAACATTGAAACACTTATTTCTCGCGCCTAGAATCAGTAATTCGTTGTTACTTACCGTGTATGATAGGACTTCCTCTTCTGGATTATTGTCTAATTATTATTTTTAAATTTGACAGAAATACAAAATGTTAATGAACGATATTTTATTATGAAACCAGGAGGCAAATGGCATGTGGAATAGTTAATTGTCATGTGATAAATATTAAATTCTTTTCTATATATGCAAGTTTTCATTTTTTTTTGTACGTGACAACAAATTAAAATATTAAATCTTAGTAGTCATTATCTAGTTGAACAAAAGTCATGAATAAATCCACAAACTAATATGAGAATTTGGTAATTTCGCTTGTCTCTTTGTTGGAAGTAAATAATTGATAATGATAGTCTCCATACAACCCGTTAGTATATTCAATGGACTTAACCTTGTTGACAAGTAAGACACCATAGTAAATGGGGCAGCAGGTAAATAATAAAATTCTCCCTTCATTTTAAATTACAGGACACTTTTTTTTTTAAAAAAATTCATCTCAAAATTCTATCTCTCTCTATAATTAATTTTATTTTCCTCCCTTCTCTTTTTAATATATTAAATAATGAATATTTTTGAAATTTTATATTTTTATTTTGAAAAAGGTTATTAAGCATATTTAGTGAGATTTATTGATATGTGATATTTTATCTAAAAGTATCTTATAACTTGAGACGAAGGGGGTAAAATAAATGAGACCTATACTCTATTTTCATGCAACAACGATATTTGTGGAATAGTGTTGGTTCAATTTATGAAGAGATTTTAACTACTGTCTCCGTTCAAAAATATAAAAATTTATCAAGATAAAATGTTTGAAAATATAAAGTATTTTATGTTTTTAATGCATTATTAATAAGATTTTTTCAAAAAAAATACTCTTAAATAGGAAGTGCAATTAATAAAAAAAATTAATTAAAATATCTTATTAAATAAAAGTAAATAGAACTAAAAACTAGTGCCTGAATTTAAAATGGTTAGGCTTAAAAATTTTGAAAATGTATCAGGGCTGTGTTTTTTTAAGCCAACTTTGGCCTTTAGAGTCAAAAGTCTAGCTTTACAAGTCTAATCTTAATATATTTTTTTCTTTTTTCAATTTAAATATCTAATACACAAATTTATGATAAAAAAAACTATCATAGATAAGATTAAGTTTAGAAAAATAAATTGAAGTAAATCCATAACAAATATATAATATGGCAACATTATCTAAGTATCATGAGCAAAAATATTAAGGTTGAGGAACCTAAACATCAATAAAGACTATTCAAAGATATTAAGCCTAAACATCCAAATACCATAGCAACACTGTCCAAGTATCATAGTAACATCAACAAAAACTAAACATGGGCATTAGCAGCATTATCATTATGGTTGTTTTTTTTTTTAACCTAAAATTATAAAAACAAATAGGGCCTAAAAACGTCAGTGGGATGGCCTTTTAAAGTTGAAATTCAATTATAACCTCTACATTAGTGATACAATACTAGATAATTTGAAGCTTAAACAGGACTCAACTTGTTTTTTTGACTCTAAAGGTAAATATGAAAAAAATCTAGAACTTTAAAAATAATTAACTAATTCATTAAAAATGTAATTCAGTTAAAAATATCTTATAATATTAAATGAAAGAAGTATATATATTTAAATAAAATGAAATTATTTGTGTAATTAGATGTATAGAGATGGGAGGTTAATTTTAAATGGAATAAAAGTAAGAGATAATGACAGTTTAATTTTAAAAGACGGAATTAATAATAGTTAAATCATATAAAAAATAAGTTATACAGTTATAATCTAAGTTATATTGAAACTTGAGCTGAATTTATAATTATTTAAATTAATATTAATAGTTTTTTTCCAAACATTAATATCATTCTTTTGAAAATTAGAAGTTCAAGGGTGGAGAGAGATGGAAGGGGGAGGAGTTGTGCCGTGCGGGCTGTGACAACTGACAAGAGGAAGAGGCCAAGGAATGAAAGTGTCGGTGTCCGTAGTTAGCACTGGGCGGCATAAACGAAGATTGGCTCCCTCACTTCTACAACCACCAAAACAAACATTTGCTCCCAGCGTCTGCCACGTCAGCTCAAAAGGTCCGGCGAGATGGGGCCCCACTTGACCCATCAGCTACTCGTCCTTCTAAATTTGGCTTCCTAATATTTTCAACTTTACTTCTCCACGTCACCCGACGCTTGAGGCAAGACGTCCACGTTGTTCTCATAGTTTAACGGCCCACTCATATCCCTCCACCTGGATTTCTTACCCTACTTTGCCCTTCACCTTCTGCCACCTGGCATGTGTCTTGTGGCCACTTATCTTTTTCGTGGGGAAAGGAAGGGAAGGGAGATTTAGCAGCTGTTTAAAATTATTTTTATTTTATTATTTTAAAAAATTAATATTTTATAAAACATGTTTTAAGAATTAAAAAATAATAAAAATATGTATTTTTATTTTTTTAAATAATAATCTCAAAATATTTAAAAGTTGTTTCAATTTTTTTATTTTTAAGAATAATATTTTTATTTTTTAAAAACATTTTTAAAAAACACATTATCAAATATATTTTTTATTTTAAAAAATAAAAAATTATTCTTAAAATAAGTTACCAAACAAGCCCTCCATACGTTAGCCATATGTGAAATTCTCGAGATTTGCAGCTACAAAGGATTTTGTTTTGTGGAGCTTTGAGAGTCATTAACTTGTTAGCTAGACGCACATGTGCCACGATGCTATTTTTATATCTTTGATCATTTTCTATCGATAAAAAGGTGTAGAATGTTGATAATATGATAGAAAATTCTCCTATAGAATTGTAAATCATTTCTATTGATGCCTTAATCTCTGAACTATGTAACTATTATTATTATTATTAATCAGATTCATTTTTATTTGTCCGCTCATTTTTAAAATTGTTTAAATTTAGATAAATACTTTTAAAACAAAAATAAACTAATTAATTTGCTTTTTCTCTTAATACCAAGTGATAAGTGGTCCATTAACTTACGGCGACAGCGAGGGAGATCATAATGAGTTCATGCCGATTTTTCCTTGGATCTCTAAGCACATGCTCCTTTCAAGGAGTTAATGAATTGAATCAAGCAACATTTTTACTTGCCAATTGCCATCGACAAAAATTAAACTTGCCGTAAACCATCTTTCATTATATATGTATATATTATATAAGATATATTTAGTGAAAAAGAACAATTGTAATATTATATTCATTTCACGGAAGGTTTATGTCGTGTATATTTTAAGTCAATAAAAAAATACTTGATTTTAAAATATAATAAAGTTTTAATTTATTATTATGTAGAAATATCGAACAAAATTTCTAAATCCCATGAGCCTCCCATATAATGAAACATAAAATTGTAAAATAAAACCATGTTTTCCGACTTTTTTTTTTTCCCCGGTACAACCATGTATGCGAACTTTTCGTAATCATATCATTTTTTGATCAACGGTAATCATCTGATCTCATAGCTTTCTTTTCGCTCCTTGAAGATTGACAACCGAACTTCCCGATATTGAATAAGAGGCCAACGTAACTGTCCAATGAAGCCCGAAGTAGAAAGCCCATAACAGGCCCAAATAGTTCTATATGTTAAACCAAATGCCTCCGCACCAAAAAAAAGAAAGAGTAAAAGACAATGCTCTCTTGTTTGTTTTGCTAAAATTACGGAGATTCATTCTCTATTTTTAAGAATTATATTTTAATTTAATATTTAATACTGTTAAGAATATTCTGTCAAATATTTTAAAGTATTTAATTTTTTCTTGTCAATATGTTAAAAATTTTAAAATTATTAATTTGTCTTAAGCTAATTCTCTACTTTGTCTCTGAATTTAAAAAAAAAATTTACATTATCAAGTATGTGAATATCTAAATATATAATTTATTTTTAAAAAATAATGAGATTTAAATAAAAATAAATGTAAATTATATTAAATAATTGTATTAAATTCGTATTTCAATAAAAAATTTTATCTGCGCGTTTGAATATCATTTTAGATAATTTATTATTTAAATTTTAAAAATTACTAATTAAAAGTTTAAATATAAATAAAAAGGTAAAAAAAAATGTATGCATTAATTTTTTTGTTAACTTGGATGACTTTTGTACAACATTTATATTTATTTTAGTCCTA